TTGTGTACAAGGAGGCTTTGATTTTTGAGTGTTGACCTTGTATCCAGCTACTCTGCTGAAAGTGTCAATTAAGTGTAGAAGTATTTTGGCAGAGTTTTTTGGTGGTCTTTCATGTAGAGTATCACATCATCAAACAGTTACAGTTTAACTTCTTCCTTTCCTATCTTTATTGATTTTATTTCTTTCTCTTGTCTACTTGCTGTGGCTAATGTTTCTAGATCTATATTGAACAGAAGTGGTAATAATGGACATCCTTGTCTTGTTCCTAACTTTAGCGTGAAGATTTTTAGTTTTTGACCCTAGTGTGATATTGAGAGAGAGAGAGTTGGCTTTTCATAGATAGCCTTTAGGTTTTTATCATGAATGGGCATTGAATTTTATTGAATGCTTTTTCTGTATCTATTGAGATGATCATGTGGTTTTTGTCCTTGTCTCTGTTAATATAGTGTATTACATTTATTGATTTACATATGTTTAACTATCTTTGCATCCCTGGGATAAATCCAACTGGGTCAGAGTGTATGTTCTTCTTGATGATCTGTTCTCTGTTTGCCAGAATCTTATTAAGGATTTTTGCATCTATGTTCATTAGGGAGATTGCACTGTAGTTCTCTTTTTTGGTTGGGTCTTTTCCCTGGTTTTGGAATCTAAATAATACTTGCTTCCAGGAATGAATTTGGAAGTATTGCTTCCCTTTCAATTTCATTGAAGAGTTTAAAGAGTAGTGGTAATAGTTCTTCTCTAAATGTCTTGTAGAATTCAGCAGTGAATCCATCAAGACCTGTGCTTTTCTTTTTTGGTAATGTTTTAATTGCATTTTAAATTTCATTTAATGTACCTGGGATGTTTAGACATTTTATATCTTCTTCATTCAACTTTGGAAGTTCATATATATCTAGGAATCTGTTCATTTCTTCTGTATTTTCCCATTATATTAGAGTACATGTTTTTGTAGTAGGTATTGATCCTCTGGATTTCTGGTGGATCTATTATGACTTCACATTTTTCATTTCTAATTGCATGAACTTGAGGTTTTTCTTTCCTGTTTTTTTTTTTATAATGTTGGCTAAGGGTTTATTGATTTTATTTATTTATTCTTTCAAAAAACCAACTCTTCAATGCAGTGATTTTTTGTATTGTTCTCTTAATCTTCATTGCATTCATTTCTGCTCTGATGTTTATAATTTCCTCCCTTGTTTGAGCTTTCAGTTTGTCTTGCTCTTCTTTTTCTAAGAGCTTAAGGTTAAGCATTAGTTTCTAGTATGGGCCTTACTGCTATGATTTTCCCTCATAGAACTGCTTTCGTTGTCTCCCATAGATTCCTGTATTTTGTATTGGTATTATAATTTAATTGTAGAAACTGTCTATTTCTTCTTTAATTTCCTCTATGACCCAATGGTTGTTCACCAGGGTGTTATTTAATTTCCATGTGTTTGTGAAGTTCTTGCAGTTTCTTAGGCTATTGTTCTCCAGTTTAATTGCACTATGGCCTGATAATTTACAGGGGATAACTTCAATTACTTCACATTTACTTAACCATTTCCTATGAGCTAGCATGTGGTCTATTTTGGAGAATGACCTGTGTGCATTCGAAAAGAATGTATATTCTGATTTTGTGGGGTGGAACCTTCTGTAAACATCTACTAATTCCATTTGTTCTAAGACTTGGTTCAGTGCTGTTATTTCATTGTTGGCTTTTTGTCTAGATGATCTGTCTGTTTGTATCAGTGGAGTATTGAGGTCCCCCACTACAATTGTATTAATGCTTATTTTGTTTTTCATATCTATTAATCTTTGTCTTGTATAGTTAGGGGCATTGGTATTCGGTGCATATATATTTATGATTATCATTTCTTCCTCTTGTATTGTTCACTTTACAAGGATGTAGTGGCCTTCTCTGTCTCTCTTAAGTAGTTTTGGTTTGAAATCTATTCTGTCTGCAAATAAGATAGCTACCCCTCCTTTTTCCCAGGCTCCTGTCACATGGAGAACTATTTTCCATCCTTTTACTCTCAGTTTATGAATTTCTTTGTGGATTAAGTGGGTTTCTTGTATACAGCATGTTGTTGGATTTTGCATCTTAATCCATTCAGCCAGCCCATTTCTGTTGATTCATGAATTGAGGCCATTAATATTGATGGCTGTAACTGTTATGTATTGACTTTTCATTGTCATGTTATTTTCCTGTGGTTGGTTTTTTTATATTTTATATTTCCCTCTCACCATTTAATTTCTTGCCTTGGCTGGTATATTTGCTCTGTTGACCTTTATTGGACTTGTGGTCTTCATTTTCTTTTTCCAGAATATTGTTTAGAAGTGTTTGGAGTGCTGGTTTGTTATTCATAAACTTTCTCATGTTTTCTTTGTCTTTGAAGTATCTATTTCACCATCAGTTTTGAAAGATAGCTTTGCAGGATACATCAGTCTAGGTTGTTTTCTTTTAGCGCATGAAATACCTCCCTCCAGGCTCTCCTTGACTTGAGGGTTTGTCTTGAAAAGTCTGCCATGATTCTGATGGGCTTTCCTTTGCATGTGATTTGTTTCTTTTTTCTAACTGCTTGTAGTATTTTGTTGTTCTTTTGGGTTTCTGGCATCTTTATTATTATATGTCTAGGTGTAGATTTTTTTGTTTTGTTTTGATCATGGCTATTTGGAGTCCTATATCCCTCACTTATCAGTATGTCAAATTCTTCCCCTCTGTTTGGGAAGCTTTCTGTCATTAATCCTGTGAACAGTTTTTTTAAGTTATTTGTACTTTGTCCTGCTACTTTATGGATTCCTATCAGTCTTATATTATTCTTCTTTGCATCATCTAAGAGTTGTTGGATTAATTTCTCATGTTCCCTTACTGTCTTTAAGAGATCTCTCTTTTCATGGTCACTGACTACAATCCTATCTTCTATATCTGAAATTCTATCTTCACATTCGTTCATCCTGCTGTGAAAGCTTTCAATAGAGTTTTTAATCTTCTGGATATCTATTTCAATCTGTTTCATGGATTCCATTTCTTTCCTTTGTTGGGCATTCAAGGTTTCCATTTCTTTCCTATGTTGGGAATTCATGGTTTCCATCATAGTCCTGAGCTCATGTATTTTTTTTTTAATCTGTTTTTGTTCTACAGTCTCTAATCATGTCTTTTCCGGGTGTCCAGATGGTTGACTGTCAGACTTTTCCACCTCATTTCCCCCAGAGTTTACCTTTGGTGAGGTGGAAGTCTGTGTTTGTGCCTTGTTTAAATGTCTTCTCATTTCTATTTCTGTTTTTCCTACTGTCCTTGGTTTAATTCTTGCATTAATTCTTCAATCCTCCAGAAATAGCTAGTCTTTAGGTTTTGAGTCTCTACTGACTCTGAAGCAATCCCATTATACCAGGGAGGACAACTGATTAGATCAATCACACCACTGTAGCCCAAGTGATACAATCAGCCACACAATAGCATCAAGCACAGTTTTAAAATGACCATTTGTGGTAGTTATTAATCTGTCACCTTTAACTTTTGAATTAAATAAAAATTGAGGACCAGCCCAAAATATGTTTATAGTAAATAAACCTTCAACCTAGCAACTTTATCCTTCAGGATGGGGATTTAGAAGGAGTTGAGAGGGAGCGATAGATAGGATAGAAAAAGGTTAGAAGTGAGGTCAGAGGACACAGGAAGATCACACAAACTCTAGGGAGCTGTTGAAAAGAAGCAGAGAAGACAGAACAAAATATACCCAAGAACAGAACAAACTAACAGCAACAGGGAGGCTAGAGACTGTAATCACTTTCTTTTAAAGGTAATGGCAATTGAGAGAAGGAAAAAGAGAAGAAAAGGGAAAGAAAGAAAATAAATTTGAATTAGGATAGGAACAGGAACAAAAAGGGAGAGAAATGAAGATCAAGTCAGGAGAGAGAGAGACTGAGTGAGAAAGAAGATAAGAAAAAGATAAAAAAGAAAACAAATTTGAGAAAAAAACTAGATAATATTTCTTTTAATGATTAAAGATAAGAGAAAAATATTACTTTGAAAATAAAAACTACAAATTGAAGTAGAGGGCCTCCTTCAGGGTATTCTTCTGTTGACACAATAGACAGCCTGGGCAAGAGTGTGCAGATCTAAATTAATTAGTCTCAGCAAGCCAGCAGCTGCCCCCTGAGGTTCAGGCTGATTTCTGACTGCAAGACCCAAGTTGAGATCTATGACCTCCTGCTGGGTTGAACTCTACAAGGTTCTACTGCAAGTTCCAGCTGTGTTTCCCCTGAAGTTAGACCAGGTTCTGAAGTGAGGTGCTATTCCCTCTGACTTAACAACTGTGGTGGTGTGTGCCTTTATTGCAGAGATTTTCTTCACTTTTCCAATGGGTTTCAATTTTCATCTAGGAGCCTCAGAGAGGCCCTCTTTCTCTTGCTTGCAGTGGGGTAGGGTGTGACATGGACACCACTGTGTGGGCTCCACACAGCTGGCTTCTCTGCTGTGCTAGGCTGAAGGGGCGGGCCCACCAGAGGGTTGAATAGCTACTGCCAGTCTCCTCTGCTGTGCTGGGATTAAGGGCCAGGCTACTCATTCTTAGGATGGTTTACTGCTCACACCCAGGGTGGGCCTTCCCATTATCTACTTCCATAACTGTGCTGAACCAATCAGTGGACTAATTTAGTAATCACACACGCTTGATCCCAGCATCAAACCCATAGACCCAGCATCACACACTCTAGATCCAGCCACCTCTGAAACGCCCCACCTATGACCACATGAGGCTTGGGGGAATGTCTAAATCACACATGCACACATACACACACACTTTGCACATGCACATCCTGTTGGTTCTTTCTCTCTAAATAATACAAGTAAATGTTTCTTTGTGCTTCAAATCACTACAGATTCTTACTGTGTGTCCTCAGAGGCAACTCATTTGGCCTGTTGCTGACACCTATAAGATTCCCTAAAATGAGCTTGTTGCAAAAAGGGAGAGAGACTCTGGAGTCAAAAATGCCTACATTTAATCTCTAGCTTCACTACTTACTTGCTGTATGACTTGGAAAATTTGTGTACTCTTCATGGCTCAATTTTCTCATTTGTAAAATAGGGCAGTTGTTCAGCTGTGTCTGTTAAGATTATGTGAGAATTAATTGACATGACAGATGGAAAACAATAACCATTGTTTCTGATACACCACAGCTCCTTAATAAATATAGGCTATGATTGTAGACCCATATAGTCTCATATCTGAAGCCTTAAGACACATGCATTTATGTGGGCTGCAATACTGCCATTTGGGTTTGGATATCATCTTACGATCAATGATAGCTGTAGTTCTGTTTGATATATACTAAGAAGGGTAAATAAAAGTCATTAACAACCTCATATAGGTCCAGGTCAGGTTTTTTTACCAAGTGAATTAGGAACAAAATTGGTTTTCATAGTTTTTTGGGTTTGGGAATTTTGGATAAGGGATCCAGACCTGTACCAAATCATAAAGCTTTCAAGAAACCTGAAAACAAGTTGTCTTGCAAGGTGAGATAGTTGAATATTTAGCACTTGAATATTAGAGGATGTTTCTTATAACATTTTTAAGGCATAATTTAATAAAGAGCTATTTTTAGACTCAATTAGGCAATGATATCAGTTACTCCTGGAGATATCCCATAGTTTTCAAGATGAAAGCCATGATGGCAGAGTAGAAACAATTCTTGCTGTGCTGTTTGTCACAGCAGAGGGTTTGCCCTCACATCACACTAAATCTTACTTGTTTTTTATACAAGCTGCTAGATTGAGAGACCTTGACTGGCAGTGTGCTGGCAGGAAGCCAGGGGCCATAGACTCTTGCTGTAATGAGAGGAAATTGTAGTCATGTTCATATAGCCATTCAACATATGTATTTTTTGAGCGTCTACTCTGCCAAATGTTACCAACTCTGTGTGACATTTTATTGTTTATACAGTGGCTCATGTGCATTGTTTCTTTTTATAGCCCTATGAAGAAGGTATAGTAAATATCATTATCCATGTTTTATTGCTGAAGAAGCAAAGTTCTGCCCTGGTGAAGTGTTACTTTAAGACACAGAAGTAGCTGACTTGAGGCAAAAACAAATAAAAAGCTCTTCTTTCTCCTTTGCCACAAGTAATAGAGGTTTGCACTTTGTAAAAATAGGGATGAATATATATTTTAAAACTCATAAATAGTTAAGCAGATTGGTGTCAGCCATCAAATAGGATTTAAGTAGCTGTGGTGAAAGATCTTCTCATGGAGCCTGTCTGAGTACAAGGTGGCTGCTTATATATTTCATAAGATTAAGGTTGCCATGTGCTTGCATGCTGGGCTCTAACCTTCAGCTCCCCCCCCCCGGTCTAAAAGACTTACTCTCTTTGGCTGGAAGATCTTTGGCTGTTGTCTCTCCCTTGGAATTATTCTCACTGAGAACATTCTTGGCCAAGGTTAACTCCTCCTTGACTGGTCCCTGGTGAGGTAAAAATACCTGATCTCTGCCTGGACTGGGAGTACCTTCCTGCTTCAGACCTCTCTGTGGAGCTGGCTTCAGCCTACTGTGACTGTACCACAGCCCAGTTTCTCCCTTGCCCATTCCTGCTTTCTTCCATTTTCTCTATGGCTGTGAATCCAGAGTATTCTCCATTACAGCTCTGCACATAAATCCAATTCCTAGGGAACACAACATGCAAAAAAAACAAGCTCTCAGTGGGAGGAAAAGAAGTAGTTCTCTGGTCTATGATGTGAGAGGAGTACTCTGGAGATCTTTGATCATTAAAAACAACACTAAAAAAAACCCCCTTGAAGTTCACTACACCTTTTTGCTAAATGAGACCCTCTGCCATTTGTTATTTCCCTTTATTTACCAACAGTCATCCTAGTTTAAATTAATCTCAAAATGTGAACAGCCAAGCTTATGCAAACCAATTTTGCAATTGAAATTTGTTGCAGAAAAGAAAATTACATGAGGAACTTGAAGGACAATGCATTTGTTGGAATAGGAAATGTAGAACATTATAGCAGGCTGAAATACTTTCGGTAATGATGTATGGGGTTGAAATGATGTGAAAGGGAAATCATTTAACCATGTAAATTAAACACAGGAGAATTCCATGATAATGACCCCAGGGCCTAGCATTCTGGAGAAGATGATGGAAGTCATTGGGAATGTCACCCTGGCACATGGGGCAATGGATCTACTGGATCATTTGTGTTTGTCAACCTGGTTTGACATTGTGCTAGAGTATAAGATAGTTCTTTTGATCCTTGAAAATGAAAAATAGGCCCATTTTATAACATATCATAAGATAATCCTGAGTAGGAGCTATTTTTATGGACAGAGGTTCTTAACAAACAAGTTGACACCTCAATTTGCCCCCCGCCTCAGGAACCAGGCATCAAACTGAGGTCCTTGTGCTTACCAGTCAGGGATAGGTGCCATTGAGTTATGTCCCCAGCCCCTTGACACCTCAATTTGAACTGAAGTTTTCAGGTTGAAACTGTTGCATTTGCTTGAAAAAGAAAGGATGAAGAGCCATTATTGTTAAGTTTTTCCTAATATTTCTTACCAAGCAACTGCTTGGGATAATAACAAAATGATTTCACTATGAAAAAAAATGCAGAGAAAAGAATCTGGGGCTGTTTGATTGGCTAATAATGAACATAAAGGACTTCATGCTTGTTGAATGGCAGATTGAAATCCAGTGTGTATTCATGCAGATCTTATGGGGGTGGTTTTGGATAGGACCACAAATTAGTGTTGGCATTAATGAGATGGAAGCTGTAAAATGCAGAGAGTTCCAATAACCATGATCTCTGATAAGGCCCAGTTGAAAGCACCCAGACCATTCAGACAAGTTCTGTGTGAAAGCAGAGCAATAAACAAAAAAAGAGACATTCGAAATGGAGAGAATAAGTGGAGGATTATATAACTGACTGAACTGGTGTTGTAAGGCTTGGTTAAAACAACATTAATGCACAGCTGAGTGACAAACATAGACTTGCAGAGAATAATGATTTTTAGAAACAGACACTATTTAGATGCTACTCAAATGATCACAGAGAAAGATTATACCACTTCATTATAGGGAAATTTGTCCAAATCAGGAATTGCTCTGTGACAATACCACCACTGCTACTACTAATACTAATATGCTTTACATGTGATGCTGTTATGACTGATAGTTTATAACATTCTTTTACCTTTTATAAGTTATCCATTTGATGATCACAATATTTTCCCGTGAATTGCTGAATACATATCTGTGTGCCTACTTAGCCTTTGAATACCATGACTCCAGGAAATGAGGTCTTATTCTTTTTATGAAGCACCTTCTGTTTCTATCTATTGTTCAAGAATTCTCCTAGGGCCGAGGATTTAACTGAGCAGCATTGCACCTGCCTTGCAAGCGCAAGGTCCTGAGTTCAATCTCCACTGCTTAAAAAAAAAGATTTCTCCTAAGTCATTTGTTTTGAAGAACATTGCTAGCTGGAAATTCCCTTTTCATAGCTTTCACAGCATTTCTGGGTTTTCCTGGCATATTAAACAAACATTATTATGGCAACATTATTTTATATAATTATATTCTTGATAAATGAACTGAAGATACCATGTGATACATTAACATGGGTGATGGCATTGGAATTCTTGGATAACCTTAGTCAGCAGGATGTATCTTCAGCCATTTTTGCTGTATTCTCCTATCCAAGTGGGTCAATATGGCCTTTTTGAGTATGTGTATATGTTTTTATTGAGCTCCCTGTGTTCCTGGAGCTTCCTTAGTAAGTTTTCAGGAATCCTGTCTGTTTGTCTCAGGTGAACCAAATGGTACCTCTCCTATTGGTGCTACCCATGCTTATCTTTTGTTCAGCCTGCAGTCTCTCAATTCTCTTTTTGGGGAAACCTTAGGTCATGGAGTAACTACTTCTTGTCCATCCTGCTTTTTAATCAGGGCACACAAAGTAGTCTAAACATTCTATTACATTGTTGCTACAGGACATGTGATCAGGTGGGAGAAATTATTTCATTTTGTTAATGCTCAAACCATTCGTTTTCTTTTCAACGTCTTTATTTTTCATATAAATTAAGAGTTACTTTAGTGCTGTCTAGGTCCTTTAAGGGCCTCTCTGGGTGGGCCATACTTTAGCCTTGTCATTTTGTATTTTGTTCTCTTATAGTTTGATATAGTTGTGTCCAACACAAAGCCCATCACAAAGATATACTTAGTAAATGTCAAAATAAAAAAGAACTATCCTGCAAGAGAGGGGCCACTCTGTGTTCACTATATATATATATATGAGGAGCACTTAAACAAACAGAAGTTATATTTGCAATTTTATATTGATTAAAATTTATAACTGAGAAGGCCCTTAGAGATCCACTTAGCCTCCTCACCCATTCTTACTGTTTATACTAAGAAACTTAAATTAGAAGTGAATTAGCTTTCCTTAATGGGTACAACCTACTAAGACTAGAACCCTTAGTATAGCCAGTATCCACCTCCTCACATGTTTTCTAAAGGATAAAGATAGTGAATATAGCATAGACATACTCCTGTGTTCATAATATTGATCTTATAGCGAAATCTTTCTACCAGGAATGTTTGATAACTTCTGTCTCTCTATACTGAGAATTTAAGCAATATCAAGGAAGAGGCCAAAAGTCTTCCTGAACTGGCTAGTATAGAATCATAGTCTAAATAAAGGACACGAGAGGTTTACAGGTTCTGCAGGCCTATCATTTTCATATAAGATATCTAAACAAGGATCAAACTCTGTTGGATCATCATGACCACTATCATTATGTAGAGTTGACTCTTAGAGTTTGACTGACATGCACTGTCCTGGAAGCTTTAGTTGAGGGTCCAAGTTCACTGTTATGGGTATGCTAAAAAAAAAATTCCATAGCAGTTCTTGTCATTTTGTGTATCATGGTGTTTCTCCTTCATCAACAATTCCTTAACTAGTGTTTCCCAGCCTTTTGAACACTAAGTTAGACCTTGAAAATGATAATATTTGGGTAGCACCTCAACTTCCCAATTGCTGGGGCTACAGGTGTGCACTATCACACTAGCTTTCTTCAAATTGTTGATAGTAATAGTGGCCAAGAAGCTGTGATTAAAAATTAAAATTAACATTAGGAATAGAAAAGCTCATTGATTTTTCAGAAAAATAGAAATTCATAGTAAAAATAAACCAGTTAATACCAAGCTGGGCACAGTGGCACATGTCTATGTCCTAGCAGCCTGAGAGACTGAGGCAGGAAGATGGCAAGTTTGAGCCCAGCCTGTGCAACTTAGCAATAGAGTGAAATCCTGTCTCAAAAAAAAAAAAAAAAAGGTGGGTTGGGAGATCAGGGGTGTAGTTCAGTGCAAAGACCCTGGATTCAACCCTCAGTATTGAAAAAAAATACCATTTTTACAATCTTTCAAAAATTTGCAATAGTTTAAATAGGGAATAAAGAGTCTAATGGATCTTTCTTTATATTCATTGACAAATGTAATTTGTAAAATTTTATAGTGTAAATGAGCAGTGACTTCTAATTCAATTGAACTTTTTCATATTAAATATTTTCAAATATGTTGAAGCTTTATTTTGCAGGGTATGTACACTTTGTTGGAGTGGTCATCCAATTGTAGGGTGTGCCAACCCTATTATGTGAAGCACATTTATTGTGTTGCTTTAGCCCATTGTATCCTGGGTTGCATTTTCTATTGCTGCCAAGTCTGGTGAGACGGAATAATCACACAAATTAAGCATAGAACTTTTTTTTTTTTTAACTTTGCCATAGGCAGCAAGGGACTGTAGGAGCCTTGTATCCATTGTTAGCCAGGACCACAAAGCTCAGGAAAGCTACACAAGGGAGATAGCTGTCTCATCTGTCTTGTATCACAATGCAGCTGAAAGACCCCAAAAGCAATCCACTCTATTTTTTTTGTATGTTTGTTTGTTTTGGTACTGATAAATGAATCCAGGGCCTACACACTGAGCAATATCCACAGGAACTGCCCTTCCCCTTACCTTTTCTTTTTGTTGTTGTTGTTTTTTAGACAGGGTCTTGCTGAGTCACTAAGTTGCCTTGCTTAGGCATGGTGTGGTTCTTCTGCTTCAGCCCCTCAGATTGGTAGGATCACAGCACTACCATGCCCAGCTCACTCTAGTTTTTATACCTGGGGACAGCATGACTTGCTAAAACATCACAGGACATCCTGTTCTAGAAGGACAGAAATAGATCCTGAGTAGTTTCAGACATTTCCTCCTTATCTCAGAATGTTATATAAGTTTCCATTCTACAGTTATATTGAGAACTACAACTGATAAAGAGTGAAAAGAGCTAGGTTGGCAAGGCCATCAGTATACTTATCTCGCAATGTGAAGGAAGTATTTGAATACATGTGAAGAAAGAGGCTCTGGACATCATCAGAACTACATCTTTAGGAGGCCTTGTCCAATCTCTTTCCACTTCCACTCACTCCAGCCTGCAGCAGAACCAGAGTGACACACTGTGCTGATTTGGCATCTGAAATTTGAATTACTTCAGCAAGAGCTCTTTGGCTCCACTTTCAGAGTGGGCAGCAGTGTGCTCTGATACTGGTTACTAAGATGTCTCAGATGGTAGAACCTCTTCTTGTCTATGATTAGTACATTCAGGCTGAGCAAATGCTTTCCCCTTTAGGGACCACAAAGGGCATGCTCAGAGCCCACTGTGCTTGCATAATGTTTTACAGAGTCCATACTCTGGCTGCTTGGGCCAGAGCTGGCTGGCATGGAATCTGTGAGTGTCCTATATCCTATCCAAAGGCTGAATAACCCAACAGCTCAGGCAAATCTCTGAACTCCTAGGAGGACACCAAATTGCCAAAGCACAGGGACTGGGAAGATCTGCTTTTAGCCACTGCTTCTGTGATCTTGATTCTAGTTCTTTCATCATCATGTCTGTCTATAATGATCATGTGTGATTATTTAATTCTTTCAAAAACATAATGTTCAGACCTGAACCCCAGTGTAGCAAAGGAGACCCTCCAGATAGAGATACAGTACTTCTAAAGCAAATTTTGTGGCATCTATATACAGTAATGCTACTGACATGTATTATAGTTCTTGAATTTTATAGATTGTAAGTGGATTAACTTTGTCAAAAAAAAAAAAGGCACAAATGACTAGGCAAGTGATTGATATGTGAACCAAAGGCAGAAACCATGGTTTAATACAGGCAAACCAGTGTCCACTGAGGTGACAAAGCTCTACCACATAGGTGGTGACATCTGTCTTCTTACCTTGGCTGAGTAGGGCATTATAGTTCATGCTAAGTAATTTGGACATAGTTCTCTAGTCAGCAGGGGCCCTTATAAACATTTGAGAAAACAAAAAGCCTGATCCAGTTGTGCATTTTTGTTTGGCTTTGGGTTAGTATTATTTCTTTAGAATTTCTCTTTTTAAAAATAAACCATTCATATTGAAGTATACGTAATGAGAAGTACACCATCATACATGTACGTCTCAGTGAATT